TATATATATGTGAAGGGTGTGAGAGCTTTTTTTTAGAATAATGAAAAGACTTACAGCCACTCTAGATCTTTAAAGATGTAAGAAAGACAAGATAATAGAAAGTTAAGTATGGGTAAACTTTCCATGTCTGTCAGTATGTGACTTCAGTCTTACCCTGAAGCCCCACCAACAGCCTGCGCTTTTTGCAAGGCCTGGGATTGAAACTAAACAGAGGAAGATCCATTTTCAGTGTAACACAGTTTTTGATGTTAATCAGAGCTATCGTCAACTCAGCAGCACAGCCAATGAGTCTTCTGCAAGTCAGGTTCCAAGAGCTGGTCTGCACAGTCTGGTCTGGCCTCCTGCAGCCATCACCCTTCACATCTTGAAACCACTAGATCTGTGCCATTGTGTCTGTCTGTAACATGCAATACTCAAGGTTAGTCCCCTGCCATTTTAGTTGATAGAGACATACTTTCCTCAGTTGAATGGCCTTGTCAAGAGAACAGACATTTTTCAAGAGATTATTTGGTTTTGCTGTAGTCGTCTGCTTAAGAATATGAGTAAAGCAATAACATGCTAGTTAGCAAATCCACCTGCAACTTGGATAGTGGCTACATTGATGTGGTTGGGAGCAGTCCCAGCAAGGGGGAAGCTAAACCAAAATCCAGTCAGTTACATATACAGCGTGCTGAAACTGTAAGGTGTGTATAAAGCAAATATGTACAGACAGTCCATGACAATGTGTTGTGATGTTGGAGTGAGTGTTGTCAGGAAGCAGTTAGTATCTGGACATAATACCTTCAGGTGGAGCTGGATCTTACCAATGTCAATTTAGCTGAGGATAAGAAAATATATTGGCGGACATAGCCGTGTATGTGAACCTTGAAAACTGAGGACCATCACCTGTTGCCATAAAAAATGGGTGAAATGACAAGCAAGAAAGAGAAACTCTTGATCAAAAATTCCTGCTTCCTCCATAGGTGCTTTCTTTCTAGTACACCTGCAACTAGACAGTTTCTGTATACTCTTCTGCGATTCCTCTGGTCCCAACCAACCACAAGAATAAACAAATCACAGAAAACATGTTCATCTGTCTTGATCTAAATACTGACAAACTTCAGCCTTTCTATGAATTGCGGTCTTCTTTCACTGAGAGTTTGGAATTTAGACCTGCAACTCACTCCTAGATTATGAGAGTGAACAATTTTGGTTTTTAAGAGTCAGAAGATTATAGAAACAATGGGAGAATGCTGCTTTTATCTACATTTAGCTCACTAAGACTTTGCACTACAAAAACACTGTAACATTTCAACTTTTTGCAACCTGAAATTTATCTAGAAGATTATCCTGCATGATAAGGATGCCCTTTGTTGCTTTCATGAAATGTTTGGATTGGCCAAAGCTAAAGCTACTTACAGCCTTTACCTTCCAGCTCTACTTGGCTAACTCAGAATTGCTAGATGATTTAAAGTAATTTCATTTCTCATCAGTACTTGCTCTTGGTTTTGCACTGCAGCTCTATTTTGCTGTGCAGCACTAACCACTAACTGGGATGTACCCAAAATGGATGCTCTTGCTGCTGCAATTGCTTCTGATCAGGCAGGTCAGGGGAAGGTGGCAACCTAGGTGGAGACTGTGCAAGAAAATAAGTTATTTTTTTATAAAAGAAAATAATGCAGTCCACTAGCACATGGAGCTGGATAAATATGGGAGAGGTATGGTTTCTCAGCATCTGGTAAAACTCTGCTCTTCATAAAATGAGGTTTTCACATATATGTAGGCCACTACCACTACTGTTACTTAGCAGTCTCTGGCATTTTATGCCTGATCCACAGAGGTGGAGTTCTGAAGCCAGCAGCTGAATTTTTCTTGTATCTCTTTTTGCTTGTATTTTTGTACTTCAATTCAGAGGTTGGATGATGATCACTACTGTGCTTTACAGTCCAAAATGCAGTGCCTCACAGTGCTACAGTGAAAGGAAGGTGATAGAGTTGTGCACAACTCTTTTCATCAACTAAATGATTTTTTTTAAAAAAAGAGAATTGTTTACAGTGTCAAAAATGAAATTTGAGAAGTCAAGAAAACAGGTTTATGTGGAGTTAGGATGTGTCTCAATTTCATCTACTGGTGTGTATGTATTTTAATGTAAATTAAATTTCATAGCTGCATTTTTTTTTTGTCCTCATCATCTTTCAGTACATAGAATAGGTGATACGCTGGAAATTATTTTGGGTTATAGAGTAACTGAATCTTCTCTTGCTTCAGTACCAGTGAAACTGAATGTGTGGGACTGCAGGAGGAGCAAAGAGTCATACAAGACTCTTGAACTTCAAATAGTTTTAGAGTTGATTTTATCTCAAGCTGAAGTAACAGGTCAAGTGCAGTTCAATGAGGGCAGTGTCTGGTTGGGCAGTGCTTCTGGTAAGTTGCTTTCTTAAATATGGAGCCTCAGAGAGGGACAGTGTTTGAGAATCTCAGAGTGTGAGCCTGGATGCTAAAAAATTATGTGCAATTCATCTTGAAGTTACACACTTTTTCCTGGGTAACCCAGTTTCAATTCTCTTTCTTCATGTTTCTCCATCTATTTAAACAGAATGTTGTTAAGTGACGATCCTTTTGAAAGCTGTGGATTACTTGGGCAACAGAAGTTGTAAAATTGGATTAGATTGCGTGAAGTTAAGATGTCTGTATACATTTCTGAAATGCTCATCTAACTCCAGTCTAAGTCTTGAAATCATCAGTTTGCCAGTTTTCCTTTGTAGACATCCTGTACGTGGAGCTAAGGTGTGAGTAATAAAGTCATTTGGGTAATTTTTTGTGCCATTTTTTAGCATCAGAATTACTCTGTTGATAGTTTCTTCACATAGCCATCCACAGAGATTGACATGACCTAATCTTCATCCCTCTTTTTGGATATCTGATACTGAAATACTAGGGCAACTGGAGGACTGAATATGTCAGCAGCCAAAGCTGTACATAAGGTTCTAATAAACTAATTTACAGCGAGTTAAATTCATCCACTTGTGATCAAAGAGGATTAGGTCATAGAATTCAGACTCTCCGATTTTCACATCCGATCTTATTTCTAGTTTCTAGCCTGAGGACTATCAGCATTTTTCACCAAGGTTGATTCTGTGCAGCACAGAAATGTTAATTGTGAAAGGCCACTTAGATACAGGCAGAGCAAGGTCTTCAAAGTGTTTGGTACTAGCCTCTCTCCCTTCTTCTTGAGGACAATGAGGTAGGAAAAAACCCATGTTTCATACTTGCACATCGTGGTACAGTATGCATTTAGCAAATAATGCATGAACATTTGGAAATATTGTCTTGGAAATTCTGAAGCCTGGATACATACCAGTGTGCTCATGTGAAGCATGAGGATTGTGTTCAGGTGCAAACTGCTGGTCTTCAGGTAGTAAAGTGCTGGCCTGTTTCCATCCATCTCTTCACTGATCTTTAAATCAGCTAAAAAATTAGAGATACATTACATTTGTATTTTTGCAGACTGTTTATTTAATATCTGTGGACGACACAGCTTTAGTAAGCAAATAAACAGAGGCCAGAGGGAAGTTTTGAAGCTTGTGTTTGTTGAAGTATTTTACGTTTTTAAAGAGAATGAAAAATATTGATTTATCACGATTTCATTTGCCTTTTAGTTACTTTTCCAGTTTTAACACATCCAAGTGCAGAGTTAGAATCATAGAATGGTTTGGGTTGGAATGGTCCAACCTCCCTGCGATAATCAGGGACATCTTCAACTAGATCAAGTTGCTCAGAAGTTCTAGGTTCTAATCCAGTGGAATTCATCGAGTTTCTCCAAGTTAGTGACAACTAGCACTGCTGAATATCTGACCCTGATTACTTACTTTTGCACTGCAATTATGAGAAACATTTAAGTACGTGTTTAATTAAACGCCAGTTATCTTCACCTCTTCTATTACATGGGTGCCCAAAAGTCTGCCATATTTGTATCTGTATAAGGAACCTGTCTGTTTTTTAAAGGCAGTCAGGCAGTTAACAACATCGGATTTGTACTTAACTCACCTGACAGGCACTGCTGAATAGTTAACTCATCAAGTGCCAGCTGAACTTTAGAGGAAACGGGTTGTTTCATAGTTCACAGTTCACTTGTTTTAATTTGGTAATTTTTTTTGAAGTTAAATTCTACCACTGACTATATCTTTTCACATATAAGTAAAGCGCTCTGTCTTTTAAATGCATTATTTTTTTTTTATTTTTAGGAAATTTGTTAAAGTTTATTTTAGGTGAGCTTACCTCTAAACATTATTTCCATAGTGCATATATATTTTGAAGGAATTGTTAAGTAATTTGCTTCATTCACCAATTTGTGATCATCAGATATACTTGGAATAGCATGGGAAAAATGTGTCGACCTGATGTTTGAAATACAAATGTTATGTATTCCTCTTATATAAAGGGAAAAAAAATACCAGACCAAACCCAACCCACCAAAGTAATTTAAGGCTATCGTGCCATCTAGTGGTAGTCGTTCATTCTCATTTTAGCTTAATTCATATTATTCTAAAGGATTATATTTAGCCTTATTCCGTCTTGGTAGAGCTGATCTAATGCTTTAGGAGAGCATCATTACAGTAAGACACATGAGCAGAAAGAACTTTTTCTATTTCTCTTCCTACCTAGCATTACTATTTGCTATTAAAAATTAAAAAGTGTTTAAATACCATTTAGATAGTGAAAATAAGCAAGGTAAGTTAGTGAATTAAAAATCAGTAAGAACACACACCTCTTGCATTTTGAAACCAAAATAGTGAACTGTTTACATATAAAAAGAAAATAGATTTGTAAGCTTCTGTGTAAGGCTGTAAAATTTCTTTATAATGTAGTATTTAATACTTTTATACTTATATTTACAATATTTATAGTAAAGTTATGATATGATACTTTTTCAAAAAACAGATCTTGTATTATGAATTCAATAAATGCAGCGTTTGATTAAAACAGTTAAATCTTTGCTGTATACCTCCAGGAAAACTAGCAAGCAAAATCATAATTGATCTGTTTTCCAAGGGGAAGTAAAGAATATCTGCTCCTTTTTGAAAGTTGTTGCTTGAAGTTTCCCAAACAAATACAGATGGCACCTTTGCATCTCCTTTAATTCCACGACAGCTGGGGTTAAACCAGACCATTTGTGGTTTCACTCAGTCCTCGCACTCACTTTAATCTAGCTCATGTGTATTAGTCTCCTGGAAACTATTGCATTGGCGAGGGATCTGCTGGGGATGTGATCCTCTGCCTCAGCGCCTTCACACTCACAGAACATCCTCCCAGATGGCTCATTTGAACAAGCATCCAGCAGTAAGGAAGATGAGGAGGGAGAAATCTTCCAGTGTGTCCTTAAAGCCGTTTTGGAGTGGCTGTGTTGCTTCTATGAATTGTCCACCAAGGGGTTGTTGTTTGCACAAGGAATGAGGATTCCTAATTCCAGCTGCTAAATTACGTGACTAAAGCTAGAAGATGCAGGCGTGTCTCAGACTGGTCTTTGCAGATCCATAATGTGTATCTATATCAACATAAAAACATTTTGTCTCTTTTTAAACACCTTTGAACTGTTTCAACTATTGCCTTCCCCTAATACTCACGTAGTTTCCTGGTTTTCCAGGGCATTACCAATTTTTATCCCCCATCTTCAAACAGCCATGCTTTGTTAACAGTGGTAGCATCTTGCTTCATCACTTAACTTTCGCTGCTGATCCTCAAGTTCTCCCCACTTTTACAGCATTACCTTTATTTATTTTTTTTTAAACTAAAATGTACAAATCATTAAAAATGACCTGGAGCATGACTGCAAAATTAGCTGGATTTGCTACATGTTCACACCCATTCTAAATTCCAGTGGAGCAAATGAGATAATTGCAGGTGAAGGAGTGAAAAGGTAAAGAATTGAGTCCTGAGCGGGGCAGATAAAGTGAAGTTCCAGAAGCTTGAAAACCATCATGGATGGTTAAAACATTGCTGTGAACGAATGAAACATCACCAACTTACAAATACAGCTTGTGAGTAAAGCTAGCAGCTTTGGTAGGCCTTGAAAAGCTTTGAAAATAGATTTTAAAGGGGATTTTTTGCCCCTTGCTTTTGTATAATTAATGTTAGTAAGAAGAATTTTATGTTATTTTTGGAATCTCTGTTGTTTGTAGATGCATCCACCCCAGTATAGCCAACTGACACCCACTGGGAATTCTCAAGTGCATAAAATGATGCGTATGTCTATTTCTTCGCAGAATTGGGACCTATGCAATTTTGTCCTTGCCAGTATCACGCTATATTTTCAAATATTTTAATTTTTTAAATTATTTTGAATTTTTAGACTACCTAAGAGAGGATCGGCATCTAGAAAGATCTGTAAGTGGTTTGTATTTGCTCCTCTGTTTTTTGTTCATTTTGACTAAATACCAGGAATAAAGTCAACTTTAAAAAGATAAAGGTGCCTGACATCTGCTGGCTTTGATAATTCTATCCTGCAGTTGTGGTAGTGGTTTTACTGCTCGTAACTCCTAGAACAAATTAAAACTGCTCAGCTTGGGTAGCTAAATAAGCTGTGAGCCCACACTTCCCCCGCCTCCCTTTCCACATATACAGCTTGAGCAGCCACAGACCCACTGTGGAGTGGTGCAAGGGAAGAGTTGATATTGGCACAAGTCATTTTCCTAGGAGATCTGTTCTGAACTTCACAGTCTTAAACTGAAAATTCAAGTTCTATGGTTGTGAGATAAACCTCAGAAATTCAAGGGTACTGACCATTCACCAAAATTGGCATTATAGTTGCTGCTGAAATGTACTAAAGAATAGTTGTCAGTTTTGTATGATGCTTTCTTATGCTGAGTTTAGTTCAGTTCCTATCAGAGCCTGGCTCTTGCTTTTTACATGAACCACAAATGCTTGGGTTTGAATCCAGAATCCTTGGATGATGATAGTGCATGTAGCTTTGAAACAATATATTTATAAAAGATAGCAGGAGGAATAACAAACTCCAGCTTGTCATTGTCAAAGCTGTTTCAAAAAATCAGTCATATATCATAATCAGGGGTGACTAGAAGGATTACTAAATTTAGGGAAATTCTTTCTCAGGCTTAATGATCTGTGTGTATGATGCCTGAATTCTGAAAGTGTAGTTTGTTTATTTTTTAAAAAAAGGTGATACTTCTTGATTTAGTTTCAGCTTCTTGGGTTTGAAATACTGTTCTGTAGTATTTTCATTTAATACAAATTAAAGTGAAAAACATTAACCTGCTTTAAAATGCATGTAGGTAATAGCCCTTCTAAAATTTTATTTCTTTAAAAATTTCCATTAAATATCATGCACAGAACTTAGCCCCTTTCTCTCCCCCTTGCTAAATCTTCTTGAGCATGAGATAATGGTATTTCCCACAAAGTGAGACAGATGTAATAACAGTACAGTTCCTAAAAAGCATTACTTACTTTCTCAAAATTCTGGAGAAGTAGCCAGGCAAGTGGGCAGATCTTGTGTTTAGCATCACGGAGGAATGTTTAGCTAGAGACAAAAAGGTTTTGTTTTTTTAAAAAAGATTTTGTTTCTTAATTTTTCTGTGCAGAGTGTGCAAGTTATCTATTGCAGTATTTGTTCATATGGTGGAATGAGTCCTGTATTTCTTGACCAGGGATAAAGCATTAATTTTGATTGAAATGCTAGTATTGTTGTAACTTTTGGAATTTTAGATGAAGAAAGACAGATGTCTGTGGAAAGCTTTTCACTTTAAAAAAAAATACCTAATTCTGCTCTATAAATTAAATCAAACCTCTTACTGTTGCTATTTATAGGTTGCTGGAGCATGTCAGGAGGCTCTTAGAAAACCATAAATATGGAAATAATTTTTTCATGGATCTTAGTCTGAAGCACAGGGTAGAATTCGCTCGTGGAAGTAGGTTTGGTCGTCAGGAAAGGCCAACATAAAGAGAAATCCTGTTGCGCTTCTGAGAGTATAACATGATTTTATGTGAAATAGTGTGAATGAAAACAACTAGTTTGATTTATCCTGGAAGATTACAAGATGTGTAGTGTGCAACCCAAATTTCATCTCTGAAATACTTTAGCAAAATATGAACCAAAGACCTCTGACACTGTGGCAGCCATTTGGGGGGCAAAGGAGAAGAAGAAGGGTTGTAAAACACAGGTGAATAGGAAAATAATTTTTTGTTAAGAACTGATTACAGCCTGTCCGAGCTTTGCAGAGGATAAGTTACATGTTTGTGTTTGTCAGCAGGCTGTACTAGAAAACAAGAGTGTAATTTTGAGAGCTAATTTAGTTTAGTCCTGGTTAGAATTAAAATGTGTTAATGAAGAGTGTCTTATACGCTGTGGTGGCTGTTACTACGGATGGAGATGTCCACCAAAAAATGCAGAGGAAACTAAATAAATTAAAGTATAGGAATTGTAAACTAACTTGGATAAATTCAATTCGCACCTATTTTGTGGTGCACCACTAGTACTCTTCAAAAGTACAAAACCCCATTTCATTGAGAATGGAAGCAGGCACACCAGTGGTAGTTGTAAAGCACCTCTAAACCATTTAATAAAATGCAGGAGACTTAAGGAGAGATATTAAAATTTACTTCCTAGCCATTTTTCAGTAATGCTACCATAATAAGAAAATTAAATAAAAATATCAAGCAGTCTTACTTCTTACATTTGGACTATAAATAGTTAAATGGTATCAATCCTTTTAACCAGACATAGGTTTGAAAACCAAAAAGGATGAATATGAATTGTATTTTCAGAGACAGAATATGTAACTTGGCAATTCAATTCATTTTTTAAAGGAGAAGAGGAGAACAAAATTTTTTTTGTTTATGTAATGTCATATAATTTAGAACTTTAAATGAATAAATTAAGAGATTTGGTCATTACGAGAATTCCCATCTGGCTTATGACCTTGATGCTGGCAGCTTGGACCCTCTTACAATACCTCCTCTTCAAGTAGGAGCACATTAATTTAAAATCATTTGTCATAGTGTGTACAAATTCAGTCTGCAGTTCCATTTTCAGCTTCTAGTGATAACTAGTGCTTAGACTTTGTGCTGATTATAGTGACTGAATTATACAAACCAATTAATACCATTTCAGTCCTTTTCTATACTGAGTGCTAAAACTGTGTTTCAACTTGTATTTTTTAATTTGTGGTGTGCTCTTGTTGTTTCCTTAAGAGAGGTTCTCCAGTTAGGAGCACCATCAGCCTCTCAGGGTGTTGAGACATACAATCTAAGGAGAATATTCTAAATTTGATAATGCAGGTTAAAAAAACCCAGCATGCTGAAAACCAGTTATCACTTGTTTTTGCTCGCTTCTAAAACCATGAATTTAGACGCGTTTTTGGGAAGCCCTGCTAGCACTGTCTGGTGCAAGCAGGACTCGTTCCTCTTCTTTCCTAAGCCATGTAAAACGCAGTAAGAGCATGGTATGGGCATCCTCTTCCAGGTCTGGATGGCGCCGTTGTTAGAGATGGATCCTTTCTCCTCACTGCCGATCACTGCCCCCCCCAACAGGGTGGTGCTGCCCCAGGCTGGGGCAGAGGAGAGGTCCCTGGCAGGCAGAGGTTTCCAGGTGAGCCCACATGCTGGTGGCTGGTCAGGCTTGTCTGACACTGTGCTGAAGTACCTGAGATACATAAAACACCTTCCCTTTTGTGAGATCTCCTGTAGGAATGCTCATAGTGGGCACAGCAGGGGGGCTGAGCTGGGCAGGGGACATCTTCAATGGCTTGAGCAGTCCCTGCATCCAACACATTCCTCCTGAGGCTTCCATGCGTTGTGCTTAGCAGGTCACCCCATTGCAAGCTGGTCAGCCTCAGAGGGTGTGTTTTGGCTGGATGAAACTGATTGAGCTACTGCCCTGTTTTCTATAGCAGCCTTAAATTCAGTCATTTAAACCAGGTTGGCGGTGTGCTCTAAAACATACCTTCTGTTCTGCTCTGACCAGACAAACACATACTGTCTGAGCTGAAAAAAACTTTTAGTGCACCTAACTGGGAAGACGTAATGTGAATCTAGATGAGCATTGTTATTTTAAGCTACACTGACTAAGAAAGGTAGGTTCTAACGTGTAGACAAAGAGTTCTGTTCAGGCAATATTAATTCTATTTTATTTTCCTCAGCCCGAGCTTGTTTCACTGGCATTTTGGCTCTTGGTATTTTTATAGTTTGCAGATATGTGCAGCCTCTCCATTATCCATGCCCAATAACTGCAGTAATTCTTTTTGAACTACATTTATTTGTTTTCATTGTGTGTGTGTGTGTGTGTGTGCGCATGTGTGTGTATTTGTTACATGAGGTTGTGCTATCCAGTATAACAAGTCATAGTGTGTCACATAATATGTATGTATTGGAACAGATACGGATATTTACAGTAAATTCAATCTCATTAGGAGTTCAGTCACAATGGGAATTTAAATGTAAGCAATATTCAGGATTAGTTATTTGACTGTGGATTATTGTAGATTTTGCAATTTATGTGGGACAAAATTTGGTCAGTAAATGTCATGGTATAAGTAAAAAAAGGATTAAAATGTTAATGCAAAAAACCCTCCATATTTGGAAGAAAGTAAATTATATTCCCAGATTTTGGAAGGGAAGTAGATTTAAAGAAAAATAGATACACTGAAATCTATTGCACTTGGCAGAATGCCGTCTTTTAAATTCTTTTATTCCACCAGTATTAGGCACAAGAAAACTAAACCACACCATATTCTAGAGTCACCCAAATGACTAAAAAAAGGCAGAGTAAGAATCACTGACAGGGAAACGTGCTAGCTTCCATGCGTTTATATCATCAGATTCCTTGTGGATATTTCTTGTGAAATCATTTTTCCTGAATACTGGAACCAAAATGTGGGTGGGTAGACCACTGTGCTTCAATGTTGCTTCTTCAAAGACTTCCCTACTGAGAAACTTATTATCTGCTTGTCCCCTTATGTTCCCAGGGATTAAGAAACAGTATTGTACAAGATTTTTACTTTGTGCATGCCCACATGTACCCACAACTCACAAAATCGTATTAAATATACAGCTTATAAGATACCTTTTACTCTTCTGTACACACTTGGATTCTTTCTTTAGCAGGAAGATAACAAAAGTACTAGAGCATGTGGCACCATCATTCAAGTTCTTGAACTTTACTTCTTTTTAAGTATTTTTAACAATTCAACATGATAGGATGCTATAAGCAAGAGCAGGAAGCTTACTAAATTTAGCATTTCATACCTTTATTTTATTTTGTGTAGTCTGTCTTCTTTTAGTATTTTTTAGTGGTTTTTTAGTACTTGAGAATTCTCCTTTTAGGTCGTTTGTTTCCTCTCTGGCTGCTTTTTCACCCAGTTTAGTAGAACCTTCTGCTTATATTTTTTGGTCTCGGATACCTTCAGGATGCTTTTTGTGATACGAAATTACTGAATTTTATACCTGAAGGCAGTAATTACAATATAATGGTATTCACAGATGTGTTTAGTTGGCTGTTACACAAAACAGTTACCAGAATCTTCTGCTGTTGCATGGCACACGTTTTCAAACACTGATAGCATCTCTATGTTGTGGTTTAGATGTGACATTCTTGCCTGTTACTCTGTTTTCTTCTTGCACTCGTTCTGGTTTGGTTTCATTGGTTGTTTGGTCTTGGGTTTTGTTGATTTTTGATTTAGTTTGTTTTTTTTGTTTGGCGTTGTTTTTTTTTTTTAATTTTCTTATTTTCTTAATACATTAGTGTATGTGCCAGTTCCTGAACTCCATTTGAGAAGTTAATTGTAGCTTAGGGTAGTGTTTTTTACACCTCCTTGTACTCAGCGTAATGTCCCTGTTGCAGATTAGAGGGACTTGAAGGCTGCAGTAGTGACTGGAAACCCTTGAGAGCCATTTGAGCACCTGGAAATTTCTGTGGGGTGGAGCCACTCTGGTAACACTCTTCTTTCTCAGTCACATCTGCTTTGAGAGATTGGCTTCCCTTAGACAGGTTTTGCAACATCTTAAGCTAGATCTGGCCCTGAAATTCCAGATGTATTATTTGAAGAGTATCCTACAGCCTTTTGCATAGAGAGCTCTATGAGGTTGACATCTTATGCCCCTCTGTCTTCTTCCTATCAAATATCTAAAATCACTGCTGCATTTATTAAATAGCGTTACCTGTCTTTTGGCATATTTTTCCAGATTAATTATTTCTCTCTGGTTTTACCTCAATTATTTTTTGAAGAGTCACATGTCTATAATCCTTGGGTGGAAGGAGGGCTCTTGTACTCTCTGCATTGCTGACAGCCCTCTCCCTCCCAGCTAGCTGGGGCAGTCAAGAAAGTATTTGATGCATTGGCATGACACCTATGCAGCCCCCCCCGTTGAACTCTGAGACAAATAAGGAGTCTGTCTTGCTGACAATTTCATGTGGGGATGGGGTTCCGTTAAAGGTTTTTGACTATCAAGATGATGAATTTTTAATTGACAGAAGGCTGAGGGAGCAGGCAGAAATGTCCGAGTCTTCAACATGCAAAGCATTTGATTTTTATCTTCGGAAGACAAGTGCTACACTGTCCAAATCAAAATCTGTGATCACTGGTTTTAATTCAGTGCCGGTATTTTGAACCCATTACTTTATGTGATGTATGTGCTGTAATACCATTAAGAGAAGGGGAAGAAAAATTTTCCAAGAAGTCAAGGAAAGAGGGCTACTAGCTGTAAGAAATGTAAGTCCAGGGTGGTTCCTCCCTAAGCCATAATCTTTTTAGCAACTCTTTTAACAACAAAGTAAAACTACAATGGAGACTAAATTAGTCAGCTATTCTTCTTAACGGGCTGTAGCAAAACAACATGTGACAAAAAATGCCTACTGCTTGAGTTCATGTCTTTCAGAGTGCCTGGTGCTTAATAATGTGTGTGTGAGAGAGACGTGAAAAAAATGCTTCCGATGTAGCGAAAATCTGTTCGTATTTAATTTATTTTTGTTAAAAGATTTGACAGAATTTCTTTGTTGTCTTGATACATCTTGGTATAACTTTTTGTAGACAAACATGACATTGGTAATGGAGAGGGACAAGTTTACTAACTGGCACAAAAATTAGAATATTTAAGTCTTTAATTGTAGAATTTTTGTGGTAAACTAAAGTACTAAATCTTGGTTCAAAACAGCGTAAAACTTTTTAGAGCTGTCCTTGAACATCACTATCTCAACATTTTCTGTAATGCTATATGGATCTTTATTGGTACTTATAGTCATCAAAACATTTTGTGCTTCCCAGTTGTTTATATATTTTCCTGCCTGTAGAACTCTGCAATGTTTGTATCCAATGTTTGGATACAAAATTTTTTGAAATTTACTAGGTGAAGTCGTCCCTTGCAGTTCCACTTGGGTTCACTTGCTTAAAGAATAGGAGAAGGTTTAAACACTTGCACGAATCTGTTTAAGGGAAATACATAGATACATAAATATTTACAGTATATAAACATTCTTGCAAGACAGAGTTGTATCAAAGAGGCTCCTGTAGTTATTCCATGCAATGAACTAGTAAGTCAGTTAAGAATAGATGCACTGGCTCTCGAATTAAAGTCTGCTTTGATGCCTGCTTGGGAAACAATGACTCAAAAAACCCCATGACTTTTATAATTTCAGAGAAGAATCATAGACTTAATCTTTGAGGCTTGTATTAAATAGACTTGAGACTTACCTAGATCCAGGCCTTCTTGGATATCTGAAGTAGCTACTGACCTCAGGGGCACAGCAAACCAAAAAGTACGGGCTCTGATTGTCAGGCATTAGAAACAATGTGAGTCATATTTTGAAAAGTGAAAATACGACTTCATATGAGTAAGCTTCTTTTTGTCCTTAACACAGTGGGGTATTTGTTTAATCCTTTTTAATTTTTAATTTCAACTCTAAAAAAAAAAAAAAAGAAAAAGTTTTTAGGTATTTTTATAAACTGCATGGGAAGGCAAACCCACTGGGAAGAGATGGGACAAGCAGGTTTCCATCCTACTTGAAAGGAGCAGATGTTCTGCCAAGAAGCACTGTTGTATACTAATATTCTACAATAAGATATGCTTGACTTGAGAGGCATTGCTGATTTCCCTTTTATGAGCTGTACAACTGTAAATAAAGTTAAGGTTTTGTTTGCTGAATAAGGTAAACCAAATCCAAGATACTCACTAGAGTGTGCTGCACCCCATACAATGCATTTGGTTGACCTTTGTGGAAATTGTTGAAATTCTAATTTCCTCGCACTTTTACTGCTTTACAAGGGCCTGCATGTTTACAGCCTTCGCCACATGCACAACCCTGTTTTCTTTCTTTCTTAATCAGACAACCTCATCATCAGAAAGAGGGCATGAAGAAGCCTTCCTTTTCTGTAGCACAGAATTTCAAATGCCTTTTTTGTTAACCTTTTCACAATTGTCAGTGAACTTTCTTCTCCCGTTTGTAAACCCTCAGTATTTTAACTTGCTTCCTAGTACCTATTCTGGATACATGTTTGTGTAGGTCATGTTTTTTCAGCTTTCATCTGATTCTAAGCTGTGAAAGGTTCTGTTAAATTTTCTTCTGCAACATCATAAGCAAAATTCCATTGCTAATTATTTGTAAAATAATTATAATTCTTTTGCTAGGTATTAGTACTACTAATATATGCATTACTAGCATAGATGATCACTGGCATTTTAGTTTATAATGAATGCAGTGCTGCTGATAAAGCTAAAATATCCTATTCATTTGTAAAACAGTGATGTTAATCGTAGAGCTCTAGTGACCTGCTAGTGGTTCTTAGCTACAGCTGACTAAATGATGTCTATGTAGGTATATTTTGAAGATATATTGAAGAGACCCTAAAGGGTGGGTTTAAACCTGCAGCAGCTCATTGTTCATCAGAGCTTGCCCCTGGGAAGTCCCAGCAGACTCCTTTCCTTTCTCTTTCCCATGTGTCTGGTGGCAGTGTCATGAACAGAAGGGAGCTCCTCTTTCACGATACAAAGAATCAGTCTTTTTTGTCCTTCTGTCCACAGTTAAAGCATACTTTTAGCACTTAGTTTTCTTCTGGAGTTATAGGTATGCTTCCTTGCCAAAATGATCCCCTTCGTCATCTGTTTAGTCAATGTTTGTGCCTTTGCCCTGTAGATCTCACAGTTGCCACTGACCTCCCGACCCTTTAGATTTCTAGGTTATTGTCACACTTTGGTATGGAATACGTAGGGAAGTTAAATGTGTTTGCTGGTACTATCGTTTGTTTATCATAAGGGACTGACCTTGTTTGTGGGCTTTGAGGTAGTATAGTAGTAGTAGCCAAGAGCCACTAGAACCTCACAAGTTGCAGCATGGTACGACAGACTTGGGTATAAATTTGGTTTTGAGAGAGGAGGTTGACTCTGTCAGCGTGGTGTTAAATATGGAGGGATATGCGTAGTGCCACATTGAATTAATATGGTTAACAGAACCACTGAAGTTCTAAATATTTATGACATAAACTTGAAATCTCTGCCCTCACAGGTTAAATCTTGTATTCCATTTTACTGTATTATTATGAAAAAGTGAATGGAAATTATTTGTGAATTATTATGCTGTTACTTGCCTCTTGACTCTCCCAAGAATATTTTTGGGTTTTATGCCAGGGTTCCTATCTTTCTCCCTTCTCCAGTGGAAAGTATAGATGTGTGATTGTATGATCTAAATTGTTTATTGTTCTTCACTGTTAATGCATTAAGTTATTTATATTCTGCATTCACAATTTCTGTAACAAAGTTTTAAATAATATATCTTGATAAATGCATTCACTAAGAATCTCTAAATTTATTTAGTTCTATGAAGCGTTGTGGAATAATATACTGAATGCTTTGTGGAAGTGTTTAAGCTGCATGCTTGAGGTGTGAGCGTGGCATAAGGCATATGCCCAATGACTCAGTGCGGTATTTACAAGTTAAATTGAAATATTTAGCAGTGTTTCTTCTTTTTCATAGCCTTTCATGTCCCCTCGGTACCCTGGAGGTCCAAGACCACCTTTAAGAATACCCAATCAGGTAAGATTTTATCACTGATGCACCATTGTGGTCCAGGGTGATGGTGCAGTGGTGGGGACAAGGAATGTTGTCTTGCTGGCTACCAATGGCTCATTGGCTACAAAACATACTCAGTCCCTCTCCACCCCATTTTGTCTGACCATTAAACAGTTATTTTGATGAGATGTGGCCATGCCACTCGCAGAACACTTTCCTATGCTTAATTAGTAGTTTATTGTCCATTGAGCCTGTTTGCAGAGGGAGGATACAGTTGCCTCGTGTGGTGCATTATCCTCAGCCAGCTGACACCACCTGCTCTGAGATGAAGGCAGAATGTCCCCGTAACTGTTACGCCCTCTAAAGTTTCCTAACCACATCAAGCAGTTAGCTCTGAGAATTTTTTTGCTTAATTCTATGTAAAATGCATCACTCCCACCTATTCTTTGTTACATGTATGAAGTATTTATTTCATAGTAAATATGGAGATTATTGGTGAGAAGCAGATTATCGTAAAGTGCTCTGTGGCTCTTATAGGCACTCTGAGGACTTTATAAAAGCATTTAATTCCCGATTTTCTCTCATCTACATCAAAGGATGTGTATGCCAGTGTAACAGCAATGAGTAATGAGCTGCTGTTCATCAGCAGAGACCTTTATTGGCCCATCTGTGAGAAGATGGTTCTGGAAGCAGATAGCATTTGTATTTTTAAGCACTTCTCCATAGTGCAGATAGAGGAGGAGAAAGCAGTTGTCAGCAGATGGAAAGTTAAAGATAAGCAGAGAGAAAAATATCAGTGGAGCTCTGAAAGAAAAACTAGGTCATTTACAGTGTTGGGAAGGGTTGGTACGATAGATGGAACAGGTGTTTTGGTCCAACTTAGACTTCCAGGACTGGGTTTCTTGTTGTCACAGCTTGATGAGGGGACTTTTATCCCCTAGCCTCAGTTCTGGGTATTTTTTGTATCTGTAGGACACAATGTCAACAAACTTGTTTTTAGCACTGGCACAATATTGCCAGAAAATACTAAGTTTAAATTTTAGTGAGCTGGATTTATCAGGTGGCAAGACCTTCAGATAGTCCTCTACATCAAACATGGTTATGTTTGGGAGCAGGTTAAGTCACCTGTACCATAGCTACTTTCTCACAGGGAAAATGAGTGACTTAATTAAACTTGCTGAAGTCATCATCAACTTGAGAACATGAGTGCAATGTCATTAGTGCTTTAGTCAAATATTTGCTACAGGCATACTGTAATTCAGTACGAAATATCTTCCTGATTTTTGCACCTTTCAGTAATACCTTAGACAGAGATACACCGGTTGTTTCTGTGTTTCTGAACACTGTAAATACTGGCAGGTAGAATCTAGATGTGGTGAAAACTGTGAAAGCATTGCCAACCTGCAGTTTTAGTTTTGGAAGCGTTTTTGTCTGCACATTGTGGTATTTTCTGTTCAGAGCTGTAACATAATCACATAATCTCAGTGAATTACAGCTCTTGCAGTTCATTTACATTATGCCACATTCATGAACTACTGCTTTTAACAACACTGCCATTATTTAAATTACAGCATAGGTGGGCAGTGTGTGGAAGTAAAGCTATTGTAGTGCAGCTTTAAGGCTGAAATTTTGATTAGACAGAAGTCAGTAAAAATCAAGAGTTACTGTAACTATAACTCTATTCCTTAATGCCTTGCAGTAAGGATTGCGTTTCTTAGGCAAGGAAGAGTAACCCAGAGCATGCCTGCCTAGTGCTGCATAAGGGTTATCTGAGCTAGATCTAGGCTTTGTAGCAAGGAAAGTTGGTACCGAGTGCCACATGAGCGCCCCTAAGTTGCCTCTGGTACTCGATCATGTCCTACAAGATCAAGCCCCACAAGGGTATTTGCTGTTGGGAATGCGTTGTGCTGTACAGGTACACTTCTTTTTCTTGAAAAGTGGCATGACATGTTAGAAAGGAACCGTAGTCCCTCATACAATGATCTGCAGTGTAACGACCGCATGAGTTAAGTCTTCAGTCATGTGTGCTTACAGCAGCAAATGCCTCCATGTCCTTTCGTGTCATCTACTGTCTCTGGCAGAAGTGACCAGGTCCTGCTTTGCTAGTGTTTGAAACCTTGATGCACTTCATGTGTTGTTCTTACGATGTCGTCCAGACTTCAAGCCGCTGAATTACATGTAAAACCCTTGATTTAAATGATGTTGTCTTAGATTATTTCTTTATTCCATTCGTCTTGCAGTGCAGTACCTTTTGCCTGTATTACCTTTGAGGTAATAATGTGCATCTTAATTTTGGATTTCCTACCTCTTGTGGAAACAAACTGTGTAATATTTGCAGACAGGTTCCCCTTTGTATGTATCCAAGACTGCTACAGTATTTCCAGGTCAAGAGTAACTTACGCATTCCCACAGTAAGCAATACCTGTATTACCTGTGTAGATTACTTTCATAATAAGAGATTTACTCGTTCTGGATACATTTTTACTGAAAATGTGGTGTTGTTTTGAAATGCTAAAAAGCACCTAGTGGATCAGCTACAAAGATCCATTCATAAAAACATTTTTCTGGTTGACTGAACTGTAGGTAAGAGACTGTAGGGGTTAGTCTTAAACCTAATTCAGTTACTGTAAACCCAAAGGGTGATTAAAATGTGGGGACATAAAAGCAATGCATTTGATTTGAACCAGGGGTGAAGTAACAACACACTGTAGCTTCAGGCTTGAAGGCAAGATTTAGTAGGAAGTTTTGTGACTGCTGTTATCTTCGGTAGATGAATAATAAGCTTATCTGGCATAGGTGCCCTTCAAGAGTAAGGCAGAGTGGAAGATAAAACGTCCCCTGCATCACAGCCCTCATTAACCATACCGTGTGAGTGCTGTGCAGTTGGCTCAGTTACGGCTCACTCTTGGAGAATATCGGTGTCTGCACTGTGACCTCTGAAAGGAAACGTTAAAATAATGGTTAAAAGGGAAAACTGTAGCACTATAAGCTTTGGAAAAATTGCCATGTGCCCCAGAAAAAGGCAGTGTTTGGAGGTTTAAGTAGTAGGTAAGCTAAAGTGAAGAAAGTATTGGGGTGGGAGGGGGCGGGGAAGCAAATTATGTAATTACACTTTGGAGATTATTTATATGTAATTCCACAGGAGTCCAAGAGTTTATCCATGCAAATCCATAGTCAGGGTTGTAGGGCAATCAGGACTTTTAGTTTAGTTAGGCAGTTAGGACACGTAGTTTGGGCATTTAGGAAAGTTAACTCTTCCATGTTACTCTTGACTCAGAAGAAATATCTGAAAATTAAAACCAAAATATCTGCATTATGTCTTTAACATGAATGTCAAAGCATTATGTCATTTTAACATACGGGTTCTATGCCTGCAGGCACTTGGAGGTGTCCCAGGAAGTCAGCCGCTATTGCCTAGCGGGATGGACCCAACACGGCAGCAAGGTGAATGAGATAATTATTTAGATTATTCAAAAGTACTGTCTTCTCAAATTTATGTCTTTCTTTCTGTGTTTCAAAGCTTACTGACCCTTTTTAAGCTTTTTGTTAATTAAAAAGGAATTATTTATTAAAAGTTGTTTTAGAAGGTGCTTGTGCATTGCATAGTTTTTTTAAGTTACATAATTTTATTTGCAGGGCATCCAAACATGGGTGGGCCAATGCAGAGAATGACTCCTCCAAGAGGAATGGTTCCGTTAGGACCACAGGTACCTTCCACAGATAGATACCCATTTTTATTGATAGGCCTATACTTACACTATGTTACTCTGGCTTTCCATAGCTTGAAGATGGCCAGGACTTGTTCTTCTAATCCTGTTTTAAAATAAACTTTGTGGTTTACAAAAATTAATTCTGAAGTGCAGCTGTACAAAGTCTAAAATGAAAACATCAATCATTTTAATTAAGATTTGGAATTTAAAGAGGAATCCCTTAACTTGCTTATTTCAGAAAAGTTATGTTTGTCCTACAGCCAGTGTATCTGGTAATCGAAGGCTGACATTTGTAAAGGAGACCAAGGATTAAGTAGGTCCTTCCTCATCCTCCCAACTTAATTGATTATGCTGTTTAGGAGGAAAGAAGTAATACTTCTATACTTAGGCAAACTCTTTGTACCAAAAACAGCCCCCAAAATTCTGAAAAGTTTTTCTTTCATCAACTATTGATCTAGATTTTTGGTGAGTGCTAGAGAGATTTTAATGTAAAATGAGAAGTGTATGCTGCCATTTCTCCCCCTTGTCAATCACAAGCATCTCTCTAGCTCTGTTTTTGAGGAGCGAAGCAACCTTGGATTGCAAGAATCTGCCTTCTCCATGGTGCTGACCTGGTCATCATTGTTCATAGGCTTTTTCTTCAAAAGCTTGAAAATAGGAGCAGATGTTTGTCAGTATTACATTGCAACAGTAAAGTAGGGTAGACAACAAATTAATTCTGATGCATACCTGAAATATGAGTCCAAAAGATTATTCTGTATTTTGTCAGTGCTCTCAGTGAGAGAAAATGTAGGTGGTGGTGTTTCATATGGGTGTTGCCAGTATTTTGTTTTACAGCATGCTTGTTGTGCTCACACTGCTTTTTCACTTCCCCATTTCAGATAATCTCTCTAGTGACTTTTTTGTTCCTTGAAATAGCAACTGAATTTTAAATGTTTAAGTAGCTTTGCCTTTCAAATCTGTTCACAACTGTCTTTAGAATTTTGGGTCTTCTTGGTAGGAACCAGTTGTGCAGCTCTACACAGCACCCCCTGTGTAACCAACAAACCATTATTAAATGCATTTGTTATTTTTTCTGTAGCATTGAAGTATATTTACCACTTGCCTTTTGGAGGTAGAAAGAGAAGCTTTGCAATGTGGTTGTATGAGATGGAGCTGATGCTTTATGCAGCACCACTAGTCCCACATCAGGCAAATCTCATGCTGGTTTTTATAAGGATCATTTTTACTTTTTTGCTGTCTCTTAAAATCCAGTGTTTTTGTAAGGTGGTTCTTTCTTGTACTGAACATCCCCTTAAAATGGGGAAAAACGTAACTAATCTGCACAAAATTTAAGTTCGCAAATCAATCTTTCTATAAATGGATCATTATCTATCTTTGTATCTGGCATTTAGGATCTTTGCAGAATACAGTTCTAAAACCAAATTTGTTTAATCTTTTACACCTACTTTTAATGTCTTCTTGCTACAGAGCTGTAAAGTTGACTTAGGTGTGCCTGTAGTGGGAGGCCCTGCTACCTCACTGCACCAGCAGTCAACTTGCAAAACACTTAATGTGCTGATAAAGAAATGCTTATGTCCAGTATAGCATGCATATGCTTGAAAACTTCCAGATAATTTGCCTCAGTTTTGTATTTTATGATTCTAGAGTATTTCAAACTAAATCACATGAAACAAAAAGCAGCGGATGGTTGTAAATGTTTGAATCTGTGAAAAGTTCCAAAGAATTAGGTTCAGGTGTTTTTCAAGCCGTGGTTGATGAATGGGGTGCTACCTCCAATCTGTAACCACTACTTCTCACTGTCCTTCATATCTGCTGGTGAGCCTTCCACATGCTCCCTAATACTTGCTAGTCAAAAAGAATCAGATCATCTTAGATATTTAAGAAAAAGTCTTGGCTAGTCTGGCTCATTTTGGCCACTGGACCCTAGGTTAGGGAGCACTTTTATGAACAACTCAACTACCAGATAAACAGTGGTGGTGGTAACTTTGAGTGAAAAACTGTAAGGAACAAATTGGGGCACTGACTTCTGCAGAGAGCATAGCTGCAGCTGAAGGAACATGCATATTGGTAGCCTTAATGAAAGCGCTTTTATTTTTGGACGAGGGAGTACATTTGGTTAGAATTAGCAATAATTAGAGTTAGAAGTGCAATTGATTAGGATTCTTCCAGTCCTTCCAGATTCCATAGAGATTTTGAACCCTGGTCCACATAAATGTTTCCTGTATTAAAATAAAGAGGGAAGACACCAGACAGACCAGATAGCGAGAATGGCTCAGCCCTCCTCATCAAGATGGAAAGATGACTGTTTTGTTACAGTCATACTGTGTTCCCATCCAGATCCTGTAGTGCCAACGGGGGATGTTACTGTGACTAGCTGCTTTGACTACCCACCAGTTACTACTCTACAGTTGTGACAGAGGAGTTGCTCAGGCAAAATCATCTGGGATAACCTAGGTTAAACAGGAGGTTTGAGTTGACCTGGCTGACTTTTGCCTGAGCATGTGCACCAATTAGTCTACCAGCTGCACACAAAAAGGCAGGAATGAGTAGTGATTGATGACTGGCAGCTGTGGCTAATACTGTCTTCAGATAGCACTGTTGGGTCTGGAAGAGGACATCTGTCTGCAGCCTCTGATTGTATTCCTGCAAACCAGCTATCGATGGAACACTTTCACTACTGTTAACAATGAAGAAAATTTTACGTTTGGGGTTTTTGTTTGCAGCAACAGAACCTCCTGTCCTAGTTACAGATCAGTTCTAGATAACTGATATGTCCTGTCAGTCAAGGTATGAAACAGCACCAGACCCACACTTTGGACACTGTTGTTTTTCTCCCATTCATGACTTCAAGTTTACATGGTTTTGTGAGTCAGACCAATATAGAGAAAACCCATAAGCCTGAGTTGTATAGTTTATATGGTTTGTAGTAGATACATGAAATAGAGTTTAATAACTTTGTTATTGGAAAATAGACTGCAACAACGGTCCTTCTTTGGCGTCCCTCCCCCCCCTTCCAAAATGTGCAGTTGTTAATTTTAAAGAACTTACTATTATCCATTCTTTTGAAATACCAGAAAAATTTAGCAGGATTAACTCAGATTAGGGTGTGCATTCTGATTGTGAGGCGAGACAGACAGTTCTGCTTGTGTTCCTCTGAATAAAAATAGGTATAATTTAGTTTTTCATGTAAATAGTAAAGTTAAACTTTTGTCATAATACCAGAGCATAAACTCAGATTTTATAGGCATTGGACAATTCATTTGTTGGCATCACTATGACATTCATTAATTGTATTACAGACTTTTCGTATTCGTTACCATAGACTTAATAGAATTGACTGATTGGAAGAGAAATGTAATGGTTTTGCTGTATGTTACAAGAATTATATAATATGGTATCATTTATACAAGCGTTTACTGATATCCTAACAAAATCTAACTACAAATAATTCTATTTAAATTCCACGATGTAGAAATCTTAGAATTTAAGTCCAAGTTTCTGATTTTGAATGAGTTCCCTTGGTATAAAAGTTGAATACATAATAAAATCTGCCCCTTGCTGGCCATTGGCTAATATGTAAATAATTCCTCCTGAAACACTTGACATTTTAAGTATTCTTAGTCTATTTCTGTTGTTTGTAATTCCTTCTCCTTGGGGTTAACTTTTATTTTTTTAAGTCAACAATGGAAACTCCTGAAAGAATGAATTACATTGGCCTTTCCAGTCAGCGGTTATGTAGGGATATCATTAACCTGCTGTCCTTTCTTTCCCCCTCCTCTTTGGTTTTGTTTTTTTGTTTTGTGGTAGTCTGACCCTTGGTTATCATTGCAGAACTATGGAGGTGCAATGAGACCCCCACTGAATGCTTTAGGTGGCCCGGGGATGCCTGGAATGAACATGTAAGCACAATAATAAAATCTTATAATATTTAGAAGAATCATTATTTCATTGTAGAAGTAGCATTTGGGATACATAAGACAAGGAGAACATGCTTTAATAAGTAACATGCTTTGATGACTAATAACTGCAATTTAAAAAAGTGAACCCACAGCAGTTTCCTTCCTCTGCATGAATCTCTTACAGGCACCTTTGCTGCCCCTACAAGTCTGTATAAATACTCAGTTTCTTTCACAGGTCAAAGTTCAAATATTGGGAATATTTTGCCACTGTAGTCACCGATACCTACTTGTATGCACTTTTTAAAAAAAATAATGTTATTTACATTTATGGGTTTACTTTACTGATTAAATAATTTGTAGAGAATGGTACAAATATGGTTCTTTCCTGTAAGATAAAGAAGTACTTAATTTTAGCAAAATAAAACCATTGCCTAGAACTATTTATAAAAAAAGACATATTTGAAAGAAGAACTGCGGATTATTCTCTGTCTGTTTCTGGTTTTATTTCCGTAACTACATTTATTTCCACTCTAAACAGATAGAAGAGTATTACAGATATGAGTGGAAGGTTTTCACTGTTTCTATGTACTTCTGGGACTGGATCATTGTTTGGTAAAAATTGATACAGACTGATTTATTCCAGGCATGGATTTAGTCATGGGAGTGTATTATGCCTTTCACACCTGTAGACAACCCCTCTTTCTAAGTACAGAAAAATTTCAGTTGTAAAATTAGTGTACCTAGAGTAGACTAGATTTAAGCTGAGGATTTTAGCATAGCAAGTGGCTCAACATGAGCAGTCTTCTGCACTTTATCTAAATCTTTTGCTTTCTTGGAGTAGCTTACCTGATTAGCCAGCCTGGAAAAAAAAATAAGGTGCTCTTTGTATTACTCAGATTTCTTTCTTAAGAGATTCACAAATTTTAAGGGGCTGCTGTAGTTACCTTTAGCATACTGCAGACCAGAGATTATCAAGTTATTCTTGGGTCATGGCCCTACCTCTTTTCATAACCAGCATTTTGCAGACCCTGGAGTGGTCACAGAAGGCAGCATGGTGGTCTGGCTATCAAGACACTAGAGTAATTTTACAACCTTAAAGCAGAGAACGTGTTCTTTTCTTACTCCTTTTACACCTTTGTCTTTCAAGAATGAGTTTTCAGCAGATTGACACAGAAAACACAGTGAAGATTAATATGTGCTTCATAGCTAGACATTTTTACTCTTTATTTTTATAGGAAACATAAATGAGAGATGATAATTTTCATTTCAAGTTAAGAGTAGCCAACCTGAAAAAGTAAAAGAGGTATTGAGGTACACAATACCACTAAAAGAAAATCTAATCCACCATATCCTTAATTTCTTCTGATTTCCAGACATACCTTGACTTGAAGCAAATAAAATAAAATCTAAAGTTGGGTGTTACTCTGTCATAGACATCATATATTGGACTCGACAATTCTAGGAACCTTACCAAGGGTAGGCATTTCTTCTTTTAAATAAAATTGATGTAGAAAAAAATATTTAGATCTTTGAAATTCAGTGTGAATATAATATAAGCACTACAGAGATTGTCCTAGGGAGGAGACTGAATTATAAGAGAAGAAATATAACTTTATAAAATAAAATGTTGTAGAAGTAAAATTGAGGATAGAAAAGATATCCTGAGGCTACTTATCCACATAAGTAAGAGTTTACATAGGAAAAACAAAAGAATGGATTCCTGGATGACAAAAAGAGTTCCTGGTCTGCCAGAAAGAGAGAAGATCAGTTGAAATACTACCATTTCCATATTGCAGCATTTAATAAGCACATTTCATCTTCTGTTGAGCCAGTAAACACACATAGATCATGTTCTTTTAATTCAGTGATCTGGGAAGTACGTTTTCCTTTGAACTTGCATGTCCTCTTGAAGGGGACACCATGAATTGGAGTCATCTACTTGGGAAATGAATGAACTTTCATACAGTATATGATCAGAGGAGAACAAGATGTGCTCAGCTGAAAGTGGGAACAGAATACTCTTTCTTGGTTTTGAGTAAGATTTTGTACTGTTCCTTTGCTTATTACAATGCACTTTAGAGTCATAAGAGAGTCCAAATTGCTACTGCTGGAATATGTCTGTGCTATAGAATATCCTGACCTGTGTTACATACTGAATTACGGACCATTGTAAGGAACTCGATTATTGCATGCCTGACTACATGAATAATCAAACTGAGTATTTTTTTTCCTCTGTCAAATGGAGTGACATATACTGATCAAAAGGAAAACAAAGGGCTTACTATGGTCTGGCTTTCTTTTAGTTGTATTTCCAGGACGTCAGGGTTTTTTCTCACTGTAAAGTTACTGTGGCCAAAGTTGTTCTTACACCAAAATCTTAGTGAAGACTCATTGTCTGGTCAATTCCAGCATTCAGGATCAGTCAGAGTGCATCCAAGGATAACCTGGGGACAGTGTCAATAGATGGACCTGACTGTGTTAAATTAATTCCTTACAATTTATCTAATGCACAGTGCTAAGAAATAACAGTGTAAGTAATTTGGTGTATTCGCACTTCTAGGAGATAGGATAACTATACATGAGGCTATTGCCTTATAATAACATACATTTGCCTTTTCATAGCCATATCTTTTTCTTACATGAAAATTTTACAGTGTTCTATTCAATATTTTTGGATTTTTGGCACTGAAAAAATAAAAGTGAAAAAATAAACATTTTTACTCTACAAAACCAGTTGCTATTTAAAATGAAGCTTTTTTTCTCCTTGGAAAGTGTGAAAGGAAGATGTTTTGGCAGAATATTTGCCAATTTTTACATTTTTCTGGAGGAAAAAGTGTTCTTTATTGTAAAACATGGCAGCATCCAGCTTGAGAGCTTGTAGACAGTATTTCAGTCTAAGAGCATATACTCCACAAATGTAGTACTGCTAAATAATTGCTTGCTGTTTGAAACAGATGATACATATCTTATGTTCTTCTACAAAATAACTTTTTATTTTAGCTGTATAGTTTTACATTGAAACTTGGTGTAGCCATTTTTAGTAAGATTTTATTTCTTTGGTGATAAATGCCCTCTTTGGAAAAAAATAGCAAATTTCAGGGAGCAGTGTTACATTTCACTGACACTTTTTAATGACCAGTATGACCTGCAGTGCTGTCTCAAGTGCTAAGAATATCTCAGTCATGCCTGAAAAGAAAAAAAAAGAAGTGATTTTGTTTTTTACCTCAAGTCACAAACTTCTGTCTAGATGTTTAATTTCCTGATTTAATATATTTTCCCCTTGGGAAACTGAAATTTTGGATTTTTTCGAATACTAGGATCAATGCTGTAGGACTAAGGATAAAATGAAGCCATAATTAGTCATAGTGACAGATACTTCATAAATTCTATTTTGGAATTGGTACGTTCATAATAATGTTTTATGACTGTTAATGCTTCCAATATAAACCTTTAATAAAGGGCAAAAAACCTGCTTACATTGCATTGAAAAAAATAGCAGGTGGGTTTTTTTTTACGTGTATTTTATAAGCTAATAACATTTGGCTCCACAAAAACCATATGGCTCTCCAGCAGAATCTGCTACAGTGTTTTCTAAGTCTATACGTAGAGCTGTCCGTGGCTTCCAGTAAATTTGCAAATTCCAATAGCTTGTTAGATGAAAGGTGAGTTTCCCACTCTCCTTGTAAGGCCTGTCTAAATTTCCACGTTGCTGTGGCTTAACCCAGTCATGTATCTCAGTTGGCTTTTTCATGTTCTCTGTAGTTCAGAGAAATCTGCAGTGTCATCACATCTGTTTTCCATTTGATGCTTTTCATTAGATATATTTGTGTTGTCACACAAACAAGTGCAAGGTTTTGCATTGAAAACAGACTTCCAGTGTGTTACAAATATTCCTGGTTTCTCTGAAAAAGAGGAGCCAATAAACCAAATATGATACATAGAAAAAAGAACAACTTAAAAAAAAAAAAAGAGGGGAAAAAAAGAACACCTGCTATTTCAACTTGTAATTGTTAGCAGAGGAGAAATTGCTGAGTATTTGACCTGAGGAGCACAAGTATTGTGAGTCCCTTCTTTGCTTTGCCTCCCCTCCTGCCACTGAATATGGCAGAAAAGACCTTCACCTACATTCCTGTTTTCCAGCCTTCCAAAAATAATGTCAGTGGAAATAAACCAATTTTCACTTGGTTTATTTTGGTTGATTTTTTGAGCTAATTTCTTTATAGCTTCATCAACAGTGTAATAAAAAAAAAAAAGATTCAATATTAAATCACTCGGGCAACATATCTACTTGATAGTTTTTAGTTTTTCAAGACTTTAAAGTATATAGAAAACTTCCTGAACTCATTAATAAAGCTTGCTTTCTTTATGTCTAAATCACTCTCCCATGTCTGGTAAGCTGCAGTGGCTAATGTTGCTATTATAAAGCTAATGAGGCCAAAATGCCATTTTAAATGTGAAAGTTTTGTCATCTGCTCTGCCTCTCAGTTGTCAGGTCCTTCAAAAAGTTGTTTAATCCTATTTATAAATAACTAGAAGTTTGTAATGCTCCCGGGAATAATTATGGTTATTGAGATGTTATGACTGTAAACATGGAGATTTTACCTCCCATATGGCTTAGTTCCCTCAAGACTGTTAAAAGATGAAGCCTAACCACCAAACTATTTTTCTGAGCACAGCTAAGACTGAGAAACTTAAAATAACAGCAGGAGTTGTGAGAAAAAAGTGCTCTTTCTGGACTTTTTTTCCTTTTTTCCTTTACTCATTCCCTTTTGCTTCTAGTACCCCTCTGATGTCTCCTTCGAGTTGGCTTTATCAAACAGGTCTTTTGCCTGTGAGACACTGTTGTCCTTCCTGCTGGGAAGGTGCCACTTAATCGTGCATACACCATGCGGGCCAAGTGTAACAAGAATGTCTGGAAAGTTTGAAGTTTCCATTTTGCCTGCTGTATAATAAATTCTGTGTTTCTGTGACTTCTGTGGAGATACTGTAGCCTTAGTCAAGTAGCAAACATGCATATCTAAACATATGTTTAAAGTGTATGTATAAAATGACATGTTTTCAATTTTTAACACATGAGATTTATTATTGTTATTATCAGATACAGGTTATAGCAAAGTATTTTCAGTGGCTTGTTCTTTTAAAAATAGGTTTTCCCAAAATACTTATAAGGTATCACTTTCACTAATGAAACCTTGCTATACTTGCAGTATTCTAGATCCTTATTCAATAAATGCATGCATCCTCAGTTCTTCAGAAAGGTACTTATTATGTAAACAAGAGTACTGTTTCTGTGACTGAAATTACACTTATATTTTGCTACCTTTCTGTGTTTGTCTGTACTGTAAGTAGACTTCCTTGGAATGTGTGATACTTTCTCCAGATATTTTAAAAAAGGTTAACAGCGTACAAGGAAAAACACTCCTCATGAGAACTGAAAGAATTGTGAACTTGTTTTTCACTCTTTGCAAAACTTCTGTGCCACTTTAAAGTATGGCATCTACGTAACACAGAGTTAAATTCTCCATGAACAGAAGGAAAGCACTTCAGGAGACACAAATTTGCAATGTCTTTCAAATTACTCCTTTAAGGATATAAAAGTGGAATGTCTGGCACTTTCTAAATTTGCAGGTGTTTGGGGCTGATGCAAAACTGTTCCATCTCCACTGTAGCCTCTGGCAGTGCGGCTCCTGGGAAGGGGCTCCTTACAGTGCCTGTCTGGCATGTCCTGACCTGGATAGTACAGAAGTACCAGAATGAGTCAGGAATTAAAGTGTCTTGAATGTGAGTGTTAGAGTTGTAATAATAAATAAGTTATCTTTAATCAACTTGTAAGCTGATTAAAGGATGGTGCTAGGGCAACGATGGTGTAGTTATGTTTTATAAACACACTTTTAATTTTAATAAATCCATCTCCTTCCTTCCTGGAAACAGATTATTTTGATTTGCTTGCTCAAAGCTGGTCAGAGGATAGGGATTGTTCTGTGTCTCATCTTTCATCTTCTGTTACAGGGGTCCTGGGGGTGGTAGACCTTGGCCAAACCCAACCAATGCCAATTCTGTAAGTAAATATTTAAAATATATTAGACATCATTTTATATTTAGGGAAGTATTCTCATCAATACACCAGGAAAAAAATTCCACTTTATTCAACAGATAGAATACTACATGCTTTATATTTTTCCCTGTAACCCTCATGCAGAGCAGGTACAGTGAGGAGCACATCTGAACAGAGTGCTCATTGACCTGCAAATATCCATCTCTGTTCATAATCACACAACAGCTCTGCATCTTTACATCAGTTACAGCATTAACACAGATGTTATCCTGAGGTATATTTAAAATACATTTTAGCTTCCTTTAGCATAAGTAAGACAAGTTAGGTCAACACTATCTGGCTAGCAAGCCATATCACAGCTTGTTAAGGTACAGCTCACATGTTTTACGTAACAAAGGTACATTTGCTGCTCTTAACTAGGGAATATGGAATCATAGAGCAATTACTTGTGAGATATCAGCCATTTTTATATGCCTTTTGTAAAAAGCAGTGCACTATATTGAATTTCATTGCAACAACTACAAACTGAGGCAGTCTAATAGCAGCTTGAAGGAAGAGGGGGTTAGTGAGCCATCCCACATGAACAAAGGTGTCTGGTATTTCTGCAGAAAATATGAAGGTAGTTTTCACTTTAATTCATTGATCATACTTGATTAGTAAAAAATGTGTCCCTTTTTAGCACTTGCAGTAGAATAAGATGTGGCTTGACAAACTAGCCTGGTTCTTTCTGTTGCTCTCAATTTTGATTTTTTAATTCTACTAATGACAAATGGGGAAAAAAAAAAGCTGAAACTCTTCCTCAAGTTTTCTTTTGCATATGCTCAACTAAATGGATGTTAGGGTATTTTTCAACTGATAGTTGAAATATCATTCTATGAAATTAATTGAGAAGTCCAGTAATAGATGTGTATGTTTAAAATGAGTTGGCTGACAGGTTGTCTACAGTCATGTAAGATGCTTATGCTACAAAATAATTTTGTATTTTGTCAGTACAATTGCTTAATTCTTACCCCATCCTCCTGTAATAGCATTGGTTCGTGCTCCTTTAGAAAGGATAATTGCAAAGACTTATCATAAAGAAGAAAACCGGATTATTTGCAGGCAACTTGATTTCTCCAGATATCCTCTGTAACAAATACCACAATTTGAAATTGAAATAGAACACTGTCCTTCTAAAAAAAGAAGGATGCAAAGAAATAAAATTAGTGTCTTCTAGGGTGAAAGATATGAGTTGCTTTTCCTTTTATGGTCAAGGTATTAGTCAAGATTAAGTATATATAAGAACATACAGATTCCGTCCATGCTTGGGATGACTCTGAAGTCCTGTTGACTGAAATACAAGTATGTTCTGCTTAAGTTTATAAACCTTATAAAGCATATTATCTTAATAATCTTGTAGCTTAACCTTTACTATAGGCTGCAGATCTTTACAGACCTTATTGTGGTTCCCACAATAAGAGTAAGAAGACTCTTGTAGTGGATACAAGAACTGGATTGGTACTAGACCTTGTAATTTGGTATCTTAAGAAATGATACTGACTGTTAAAAATGCATGCCTCACTTATGTGAAACAATGGAAAGCTGATATCTGACCTCAGCCTACAGACATTCAAATGTGTGAATTATGTTATTAATTTCATTAGAGTGGCTACAGGGCACAGTAACCTTAAATGGAAATATTTTGATTTGCAATATTGGGTATTAAATTTTGTTTGTGTCTATATTGCTAGTTTTGGACCTGAACATACTTACAATGACAAGTTGTTGAAAACAGGAGGTGTTTGTTTTGACAATGATAGCATTTTTCCATAATCCTTAACTGTATCTTTGAAGTTAATTAAACTGATAAGCATTAACCTACAGCTGTATGTAAATGTGTGAATGGACTCTATCTCACTGCAGAAGAAATTACTGTTTTGTTTCTGTTGATATTACAGATACCTTATTCTTCAGCATCTCCTGGGAACTATGTAGTAAGTACACTTGTGTGTGTTTGCTTATTAGATGTTACATTTTATTTAGGCAAAGAAATAGTTGTCCAGATGTTAAGAAGAACCCTTGTGTATTGGTTGAGAACTGAACAGCTGATCTGCACTTAGGATTTTTTCTGCCATTTATTGTGCATATGTTGATGTTCTTTATTAGAATCATTATCAGTCTGGTCAAAATTGCCCTGAGTGCTGTTTTATTTCAGCAAGCATTTGTATAACCAATACAATATATTCAATAGTAAAGGACAAAAAAGCCTCAAGCCCTCTTGGTAACACAATATTGTATATGAGTTTCTGAACTTTTTCAGAAAAAAAGGCATTTGAAGACTTAGAAGCTTTTATCTCCCTGGAGACACACAAATGGGTTCTTATAGCTAAGATTTTAAAGGAAATTTTTCTTATTACCTTCTGAAAACTTGAAAGTTCTTTTCTTCTACATAGTCTGTTATGCCTTCATTTCACAGACATTCTCTTACTTTATTATGGATTAGGTGATATCATTGTTTTTCCTTAGTCTGTACTTTAGAATAAAATAGTTGAAACTTTGTAGTAGGCCCAAGACTGAGCTGCCATTCAAAAGAACACGAAATGTGAACCCACTCTCTGGAATGTAACAAACACAGTACCTATCAACAAAATGGTTTTTGCTGGGGTATATACTGCTGGGTTTTGTCTCTATCCTGAGAGATTAACTCTGTTTATCATTTCAGGCTCTTTGTTGTTGTTACTGTTGTACTTAGATTATTTGTACTTCTGAGGTACTCTTCTAAGGCATATTGTTTTATCTGGTTTGGTCACATGCTTAGTACTGGTGTCACAGGGTAATGAGGGAGAATTTATATATTTTTTTATATATATATATATGTTGGATTCCAAAATTTCTGTTGGTCACTCACGTTTCAGTAGACCTTTCTTTTGATAGAAGTATCTGTATGTTTTGTCATCTGGAGATTATGGAGATTAGACAACCGCAGGGCATTCGCTTTAACCAGTGTAAAACCTGAAGCTGTTTCAGAATGTGGAAATAGCAGGTCCTTCACCATGAGGACTATATACCAGTGGTTTTTCATCTGTTTGTGCTGCTTATAGCTTTCTCTTATTTTCATTCTTCGTAAGAGAGGTGATTCTGCAGAGCTAAAGCTGAAGGAAGAGTTAAAGAATTAGGTTGTTTTGTTTAGACAGAAGAAAATTCTTTTGTCCTTTATTAGACAATCAGCTGTAAAAAATGTTACAATTCTCATAAGTGTTCATAACTGTAGTTGCTGCCTGATTCCTTCTCCCCACTCTTTGGCTGAAAGTCACCAGTCCTTTAGGTCTGGTAGTGGAGTTCCTTGGATAAGTGACCCTCTTCATCCAAAACATAAGAAGTTGACTGAAGCATTTAAAGAACAGGTCCTTGCTGAAGCACTTCAGTTACCCAGAATAGGTGGAGGGAGCTCCAAGCAGAGCTGAGGCTGCCACTAACATAGGATAGTGGTGAAGCAGCTGAGGTGGGCGAAGGATTGAAATCTTCTGCCAGCATAAATGTTTGCACAGTACATGTTGTGTCTGATGCTGAAAGAGTAGTCTTGCTTCAGAAAGTCTCACCACATTTGGAAAAAGAACACGTGAATTCCAGCCATACAAACAGCTAGGTAGGCAAACCTGAGGGGCAGTAACGTCCATGAGAGCAAGTGTTTGGGAACAAGGTGTGGGCTGGAGAACTCTTAAACCAGCTTTTTAGCCAAAGGATTCACCACCTGGAACTGCATGCTTTGAGAGCTTAATCTGGTTAGTTTATCAGACATTTTTTGAGAATAAATTCCATTACATAATAATACGTTCTCAGAGTGAAAATAGTTGATACCAAGAGGCTTTGTAAGAGAGGAAACTATACAAACAACAAGAGTAAATGCACATTTAAAATCAGATGCAAAAGTTAGTAGTGAAGATAAGTAACTTTTCTAATAAACGACCAGTTAGTGGTTTCTACACCTCTTTATGTGATGCTGAAAAATACATATAAACCTAAAAAATCAAGTTAGTGAGCTTAGTGCACAAGTACATGGATAAAAAGTCATAGCCTGTGATGCCTAGGGGGTCATATATTTGATCCAAAGGTCCCTTTGAATTTGGAGTCTGTAGCTCTGCAGCAGCAATGGGGGAATTTCTCATTGCTGAGGGCTGAACAGGACTTTCAGATAGTTTTGGCAAGCCCAATCCTAACACATTCATTTCTGATTCAATTGTAATTTGGGAGGGTGGCTGCTGGCAGTATGAAATAAAGTTATTATGCCTTGATTTTTGTAAGCTGATCTGTGGGTTTCGTGATGGAGCAGGCCTTTGTTCTGGCATGCTTTATTAAAGATACTCAGTGACCTTGCTTAGTTCACAAGCAAGGGGAAGCACAAAGTAAGGAACTGGTAGATGAGATTACATATAAGGGCATAGAGGTATATATATGTTGACTGACAGCATGGATGTGCTGCTGCTTCTGGTTAAAAGACTTCTGTTTCATCTACGATTAACTGCAAGTTGATCACTGGCTGGCAGACAGAGATGCTTCCCCTTGCAAGTATTTTACTTGTACAAACCTGCAGAGGAGCGGTATCAGTCAGAAAGCTGATATGTTTCTGAGTTTGATTGTCTGAAAACATTGTTTGCTAGTATATTATTGCTACATGTTTTGTAAGAAATGTTATTTTAAGTAGGCCATTGAGAAAGAGGGTCTATTGTTTCAAATCCAAGACTTCTTTGCCTCCTTCCAAAATATCTCAGTGAATTATAGCAAATCTCAGCAGTGTCCTTGTAACCAGACAGGAACAACCAAACCTTTATATTCAGTGCTACTGAAAAAAATGTTCCTGTCTGGAACAGTGCTTCTGCTATTTTAAAATACAACAAAAGAGATTAAAATATAATGAGTCATATGGCAATGAAGATAATAATCTGTTGTTAGCAACCTGTGTATTTTTTATTATGGAAAGTCAATATTTATTGACTTTTATTGACACAGACATGTTTACCAAACTGGAAGTTGGTGGTTTTTCATGTTACATAAAATATTAGCAGATGTGCAAACACAGGAAGCCAGACATTATGGTTCTGTTCTTACTAAACAATTAGGATGTTTAGAATAAAATTTGTGGAGAAATTTTTAAAGAACCTTAAAAATCGTGTTTAACAACCAGAGCAGTTTGTGTGCAATTCTTAGTCACAAACAGATTTGTAACACAGAAATACCTGAGACTGAGAAAATAGATGTTCCTTGATGAGGTTTTTGGG